CCAACATTTTGCTATAAAGGTAGAATTTAAAACTGTAATTATTAATCAGCATTTTATTCACGTGCAATACATTTTTAAAACCGTTCTTGATATTACCACGTGAAATATATGTATGTAGTAAGTACATTACATGTCTAGATGAGATACTTTGTAGGGAGCTGTTCAGGGATCACAGAAGGTCTTTGGAAGGATTTTTTTTTTTTTTTCCAGAGAAGTAAATAGGTTGAAGACAAAAAGTTTTGTTAATTTTTTAAAATAAAAGTATAGCAGAAATCAACTAAATCATCTTGGGAATATGTTTGAGAGTTCTTAGAAAAGAATACTTATTGATAACAGGGGCTTTCATTGTACAGTACTTCTGCCTTGAAACAAAACCAATCTAATATTTCATATTAAATTCTGAAAATCATTTGAATTTCATAAAATGTGTGTGTATTGGAAGAGCAGATGCTTACGGTAAAATTGCTAGTGACAACTGTCTGAGAGAATGAATGGAGAGGGGGTTATAATTTAAAATAGATAGTCAAGTATTTATTCATATTTTGGGGTGTGGACACAACAGGGGCTACGTTAGGATAATGAGGACCATACTGCGACACTGAGTTTGGACTACTGAAGAGCTGCACTCAGGAGCTCGGTTGCCTGGTGGGACTCTTAACAGGACAGTCTCCTCTGGCGTTGGGAACTAAAGTGCTCTGGCTGCTTGGACCTCTACAAAGGTGAAAATTGATTAGATAAGATACTGAGTTGATACTAAGAGCAAGCCATGCCCCATGCTGGACATGCAAGTAAAAGCGTAAAAATAAGTCCTTTTATTATGCAAGATCTATTTACAGAAGCAGTTAAATATATCCTGTTTTGAAGGTGTTGAAGTTTAACACACACTGTCAGAGAAAACACAGTGGACTATAAACTTACCCTGCTTCTGTAGTCTTCGGTAGTGAACTGCAGGTAATATTTATGACCAACTCCTGGGATGCTCTGGAAGAGAAGAGTTCAATCCCCATTGAACTATAGCCTTATATATTATTACAACTTAATTATTGCTGAATGCACGGCTCAGGCAGCAGTGTGGTAACACGCATCACAGTATCCCTTGTTTCTGAACAGGGGACTCCAGGACAAAGCCGGGAAGAAGAGTCCTGCCCTCTTAAAAGTAGTATCTGGGGTCATGTGAAAACAAGGAACCTTAAATAATTTATTCAAATCTTATTTTGTGTTTCTACTTTTCAGTTAGCTCTTTAGAGAAAAAAGTCTGTCACTGGTTGATGTTTTTAAAAAAAAAAAAAGTTGCTTAGCAACTAAACACTGTTTACTAGTCATGAGTATACAGCATATCAACTTATATTTAAGTGATTTTTTTAAATTACATTAATGCGTGGATTTTTATTGTTCATGTTTTTGTGAGCAAATAGTAAACAACCCAAGGTTACCCAGTCTGCCTGTAGCTGTATAGAAATCATCATTCAGTTTAAAGATATATGTTTTATCAATCTCAGACATTTTGCAGGTATCATAATACACAAGCTAGACACCTGTAAGTCTCTGCAGAATCAGGTCCTTTGAGGGGTGATACAAAGAAAAGAGGGTGTAGGGGAAGGGATGCTCATGAACTACTGCTGCCTCGGAGCACTCAGTATCTGGAGCAGTATCTATAACATTGTAATAACTGAGCAAATACTGGTCTGAAAATCTCAGCAGTAGTATGATACGATACTGCAGCGTGTGCATCTTGCAAACTAGGAACTTGCTTCATAAATATAAACTACGTTACCTGGCCTGTTTTAAAAACTTGATAGTAAAAGCTATTACTTTCTGCTTCGATGCCATGAAATGCAGGGACCTCAGTGACATTGCTTAACCAAAATCACTTCTCTTTCCCCAAGACTCAACTAAGGTGTTCCATGAGCCTGAAGAGGGAAAACGAGGGTGTCGTGACTATCTCATGGCCTTGCAGCTTCAGGAAATTGGTCAGAGGAGATGCACTGATGTGATCCTAACAGCAAATGCAAAGGATCTTAAAAACAACAATAAGTAACCTTTATGTTAAACAGTGGTTTAAAGCCTTTCCCCACAGATATGCAAGAAGAAAAATGCAGCTCAAAGTCCTTCACAGGACAGATTGATATGGAGTAACTTCAAAAAAAAAAAAAATTACAAATTCAACTTGCAAGGAGGTATTTTTCATACAGGCAATCAGAGTGCCCTTGAATATACAGATGAATCGCATCTTGCTGACTGATTTACAATGGAGCAGGAATTACAAAGGCTAATTTAAGGTTAGTGATGCTAATCTTGCTAGGTTTTTTCTACTGTGACTGGAAAGAGACTGACTTCTCTACCCAGCATGTCAGAGCGTGAGTCTAATCTATCTGCTTTGATTTGCCCTCTGGAAGATCTTCTCTCGTGGAGTGAGCTTAAGACAGCTCCACTTCATCAGATTGAAGTGGGCTTTGTGAACACCTCCATCCCTCTAAGTCTGTCACCTCCGACGCTACCAGCAGTTCAACTAACCCTATCATCTCATCAGAAATTGCACTTGTAAGGAAAAATAAAAGAATACTCTTTGCTGATGGGAGATAACCAGCAGCACCTCTTGTACCACACAGCATCAGAAGAGTCTTCGAAGCGTACGCATTTGAAATGTGTCATTTTCTTGGATTTGCTAAACCTTGTCACGGTGTTTTTGTGTTGACTGTTGCTGACAGAAATAGTTCAGTTAAATTCTGATTTTGATGCGGATATCACAAGACTGCCCTGGCCCCAAGCATGCTAAAACAGGAGCTTGTTTTCAATACTGGTCCTGAAAAATATTAATTACTATGAACAGGATCAGGGTATCATTTAATAGTATAAGAGCACAGCCTGATGAAAAGTATTTGGATGATTTGTTCTTTACTTCATTAGTCAATCTCTTATTTTCCTACCAACTTCTATATCCATTTTTGAGGGAAGAGTCTGAGTGACAGACTAGTGAGGATGATTTTACATTTACAGTCAATTATTTGCTTGTAAATTGACATCTGGTGTTGTTTAACTGTCTGGTATATTTGTAAGTTTTTTCTTTGATTAAATCAGCCATAAGTAAATCAAAGTAAGTTAAGTCTTTTTGCATACTCTACTGTGATTTATTAGATAAACACATTTGATACACAAGTCATTTCTGGGTCTGAAAGTTTGTTGCTTTCACATATATTAACTGGTTTAATAAAAGATATTCTCCCTTGTCACAAACCTATTCTTGCTTCTATCCTTAAACTATCATAGTGATTCTAGCACTGCTCATGTAGTATATTTTGTTACATAGGTTTTCTGTTACGGAACATGTGTAAGGTAGCATGTGAAAAATACATCTTACTAGAGAATGCAACCTCTTTCAAAGTGTGCATTTAAGTCAAATTGCTGTATTCCAGCAACAGCATTGATTTGTTAGCTTTTTCTTTTTCTTTTTTTTTAAATACAATACTCTTTAAGTAAACAGTAGGAGAATTCTGGCTGTTTGCACAGTGCTGAAGGTTGGAATCCTAAGCAAACGTGCACATATTTTACTTATCTAAATTTGGGCCTTTCTGTTCCTATTCTACTTTCTTCCAGGAAGCCATTAATAGCGAAATGATAGTAAGATGTAATTCACAGGGCAAAGCCATCAGCCCAGCACCTGCCTTTAGTACATATACTTAGTTATATACTGCAGGTAAGAGGACAAATTGGTTTATTCACTTGCTCTACTTTTATAGAATCTCATCTTGAAGCTTTGCGAAGAGGAAGTCTGCGGGTTAGCCCGGATCATGCTGTGAAGGGAATGGAGGAAATGGAGAGAGGCTGAGTTCAGGTCCTTATCTCTTCTCTGCCCCCTCACTCTCTCCTCTCTCCTGCCCTTTTTGCGTTTTGGCTAAAAATATGCTGTCCTTCTGATCTGCTTATTCTCAGGTTAAAATGACAGAGTTTTACATTGACATTTTGTCTTTCCTGTAGCCTTGGCTCTGATGAAGGATAAAGCACAGGGACCTAACTGTATTCTTCTTCTTGCCATCAGTCCGAAGATGAGAGAACGTGGAATAGTTGCACTCAACGAGACTGCAGCACCCCTGAAGTAGGAGAAACTTGGCTTTGATTTAACAGATGATAATGGCTGGGGTTGCCTGCTGAGCCTTTCGGGGCACAGCGCAGCAGCCTGGGGGTTTGAAGCCCTTCACAGGAGCTCTTTTACACTTAAACCAGTACTCTTTGTCTGGAGTATCCAGTCATTAAAAAAAAAAAAAATCCTCCAATATTATTTGCTTCATTGGAATCACCTGTTTGGTCTCCAAAAAAAAAATTCATTTTTATTGCTCTGATAACTTTAAGAATAGTAATCGGCCTCTGACAAAATATCTCAGCAGTTTCATTGCATTTCCTTGGTAGCAAGCACTAATGAAAAAAAAATCTATTGTAATTGTGTGTAAACTTACTATTCAGTCTCTGATTGCTTGACAGAGGAATATAAAAAAAGCTTCATGACTAGTGACTCAGCTTAAAAAGAATACATAATTCTGTGCTTATGTGGTTTTTGAAGTAGAGATCCTCTCTCCACTTGCAACAACTCCACCGTAGTAATACTTGCCTAGAAAGCTTTTAGGTGGCACTACACAGCTAAAATACGTACTCAATCTGGAGATACGTACCGGAGGACTTCTTTGATCTTAGCATGGAGTGGGAGAAGTTGTATTTGGCATGAAATAATTTTAACTTTTACAAATTTACTTCCAGTTCTTAAGATTAAAAAAAAAAAAATCACTATTATTTGCACCATTATTTATATTTATAACATGCAAACACGTTAATAAGGTCAAATAGTGGTTTAAGATCACTATCACTCCAGGTCAATACGGAGGTGGTTTCACAGTCTGGTTAAGCTGCTCTAACTACCCGCTAGCCACAAGTGCGTGAAGAAGCAGGCACGGCTGCAAGGAGCCAGACGTGCCCGTTCGGCCCCTGCTCAACCCAGGCACGAGGGGAGAGCCAGCAAAAATGGCTCTTTATTTTCCTCCCCCTCTCTACGTTTGGTTTTCCCTAGACAAACTACCTGCCTGCCACTGTTCTGAACTGGGAATGAGTAGAAATCCTTAAATCCTAAAATCATGACCATAGTAATTTAAAGGACTAGAACACTGTGAAATCACCGTTTGGCGCCAAGGTGAGCTTGTGAAACCTCCATCTGTAAGACCGTTCTGTAGCCCAATTCTAGCAAATTGTTGCAATTTAGTCAAAAGACTCCTTAGCGGTACCTGTTGTTTTACTACGCGTTTCCCTTCCTGGTTCAGCTATCTGCGGCTCGGTTGTGCTTTTCGGGACAGCTCGGTACGGGAGACCTACGTCAGCGTTTCGAAAGCTTCTCGCTTGAATTCTAGCGTCTTCGGCCGTCGCATGCTAACGCCTCTCTTATTAGAGATGCGTTTTAAAGCGCAACTGTCAACAGCTCCATGAGATGCATGCTGCTGCGACTTAGAAGTTAGTCATTTAATTAAAAAAAAAAAAAGAGTCCCTCAATGAGAAGGGAAGGCTGCAGCCATTCGCAAGGCAGGATTTGTCCTGAGTCTGGCATACCTCTACCGCCTGTTGCTAGGGGAGGAAGCACTGAAGTCTCATTGTACGCGAACTCGAGAACTCCCCCATATCCAGCACCGCTCCTGTATTGGAGACCGTCTCCAGCCCTGTTTCTAATTACCGCGCCGGCAGCGCGTTAATGCCATTAGCTGGTAACTACAACATCCACGAGTTAATTCCATGATAAAATTACCCTTTAAAAAAAAAAAAAAAAAAAAGACAAACACGTCTCACTTCAGAAGGATAAACAAACATATCTGATTTTATGGATATACCTCAGTACTTTTTTAAAAAGTATTGTACCATGCAACTACTGTTCCATTTACGATAGCGGGCAGGAAAGGAAGGGAGGGAAACGAGCAGGTGGGCGACGGAAGCCTCTCACCGAGTTCCCGCTGGGTGTGCGGGGGGAAACACGAGCCTGCAGAAAGCGCTGCCAGCCATCTCCTGCAGCTCCGTTATCACGCTTGCGGAGGCACAAGCATATATACACATACACAGCATGCATGCACGTATCTGTAGCTCTCTCTCTCTATGCGCTCGCACAGCACGCGAACAGCCCTACCTTGAGCGTGGCCCTGCGCACCCGGCGCAGCGCCCGCAGCGCGCCGGGCGAGCC